GCCCAATCATTGTTTGGCGGCGTTACGAGGCAAGTGAAAGATCATGGGCTTTACCAAATCACTCTTAAACCACAAAGTAGAAATTTTTCTCTGGACATACAAGTTTTTGATCAGCAGTCTATTTGTGGTACAATTCCTAGACTTAAAAGAGGACCGTGGAATAAGGAATTATATAAGAAAAAGATATGGACTGCTGATTACGGAGAAGGTTCACCTGATATAGAACTGTTAATTGGTGCCGACTTTTGCGGACAGCTATTCACTGGAAACATGGAACGTCTTCAATGTGGGTTGATTGCCTGTGAAACTCATTTAGGCTGGCTTGTTATGGGTAGAACCACCAATGATTCTTACGACCCATTACGCACTAATGCTTCTGTGAGTATCACCATGTTAATTCATAGTGATAAAATAGAACACTTTTGGGACATGGAAATTTTAGGAATCAAAGATCCTGTAGAAAAGGCCCCAACAGAAGAAGAAGTGATGAAATTTTTCAACGATACCTTGTCAACTGATATTGATGGGCGCTATATGGTTAAATTACCCTGGACAGACAATGCTGATCTTCCGGATAACCGAATCATTGCCGAAAAAAGACTTCTTTCCACCACATCCAAGTTAATTTCTTCAAGAAGATATTTAGCCTATGAGTCGGTTTTCCAAGAATGGGAAAGGGATCAAATAATAGAGGTGGTTCCTGATGAAGTTCCGAAGGGGAGGTGTCATTTTCTTCCTCACAGAGGAGTTTTTAAGGAACATTCGACAACTACAGTAAGACCAGTATTTGACGCCGCAAGTATTCTCTATGGCAAATTTTCCTAAGGGTGAATACTAATTTTCAACTCCGTAGCCTTGCAAATTTGAACTCAATCCAGAAGACAAGGGAACTCCTGGATCGAGTAGTGGGAAAAATTTGCTTTCGTAGAGGACTTTTTGATGGGACCTACCCGTATTTGGCGTTACATGGAGAGCAAAAACACGGAAACCTCCCACGGTAGCCTTGCGGCGTCAGCATAACGTTTAACCCATGATCCGCCGTCTACCGCAGAGGATATTTTACGTCAGCTCTGTGGTCGGTGCGAGCCGGGTTTGGAATTCGTATCGACCAACCATCGCTGAGATTCGAATCTGGTTCCCCTCATATGAAGGCGAACGCCCTATCCTATGAGCCACCACAGCTCTTTCAGAACTGTTTTCAATCTTTCAGTACTCTATAGATTGTCAACATTCTTTCAGAGATGTATTATTTAAAATATGAGGTAATTATTAAAATACGAGATAATTATTAAAACTCTCTTCAAGAGAAATGTGGAGACACGTTCCTGGGCACAGCAACCCAGCCGATCTCCCTTCAAGAGGATGCTCTGTTCAAACTCTTAAAGAGTCTAAGTGGTGGGAGGGCCCACAGTGGCTGAAAGGGTCAAAGGAGGAATGGCCCGACTCAGCAGAACAAACCGATGAATTAACATGGTGATACTCGCAGAAGCGTTAGTGCGTAATGGGTCGTAAGAATCATTGGTGGTTTTGCCCATAACAAGCCAGCCTAAATAAGTTTCACAGGCAATCAACCCACATTGAAGACGTTCCATGTTTCCGGTGAATATCACGTCCGGGTCACCACAAATGTTTTTCCTCTCACTATAAAATATTTCACTAACCTGTGTCAACTACGGATCACGTCGATGGGTCACCAATTAACAGTTCTATATCAGGTGAACCTTCTCCGTAATCAGCAATCCATATCTTTTTCTTATATAATTCCTTATTCCACGGTCCTCTTTTAAGTCTAGGAATTGTACCACAAATAGACTGCTGATCAAAAACTTGTATGTCCAGAGAAAAATTTCTATTTTGTGGTTTAAGAGTGATTTGGTAAAGCCCATGATCTTTCACTTGCGTCGTAACGCCGCCAAACAATGATTGGGCTAAACTTCTTCTTGTCGTAGGCTTAAGGCCCATTTCTTTAACAGTTCTCTTCAAGATGTCAGAATTCTGGGAGCCACTGTCAATAAGAGCTCGAACCAGTTTTCTTTTCCCATTGGCTTCAATATTTACTAAGAGAGTCTGCAGAAGAACTTCGTTACCCTCTTTGGCGATCAACACATTACTTGAATCTACCCTTTCCTTAGCTGTCAACTCCCTTTTGTTTACTGGTAACTCGAAACACATAATTACGTGATGCCGCTTGGAACACATCTTGTAGCCCATTTATACTTGGCGCTGTAATCAACAACCTTTTACACAGTTGCCCTCAAAAATATCGTGACGTTGCTGAAATTTTGGAGAAAAGTTTTTATGTGGACAACTGCGTCACGTCAGTTGATACCGTTCGAGAATTCATACTCATGAGACTACTTGGTATTTGGAACGGTTTTCAAAATACTCAACTATAGTACGAATGGTAGCATGGATCCTTCGATTCTGCACAAATTGTAGAAACCCAGGTAGTATAAGAAGAGGAGAGTTATCTGTTGACGATATAAACTTTCCGCGATGCTGACGATCTGATAAGAATAAAGACAAAAATTTTCAGAAGGGAAGATGAAGAAAACTTCAAATGTCCCATAGTTTTACCGTCTGATCACCCACTTGTGGAAAAGTTAATTTATGAAAAGCATCTGGTTTCTTGCCACAGTGGAACTCAAGCTGTCCTGTCAGATCTTCGGCAAACTTTTTGGGTTCTCAGAGGTCGGAAGACTGTTCAAAGGATCTTGAAACGATGCATTCGATGTAAGAGATATTCTTCCAAGAAATTAGAAACCGTGCCTGCCTCCCTTCCTGAAGACAGGGTTCGAGACGCGTTGGTTTTCGAGGTGACAGGGGTTGACTTGGCAGGGCCACTCTATTTGAAGAATGGAGATAAAGTTTGGATATTATTGTTTACCTGCGCCGTGTATCGGGCTATCCATTTAGAGCTGATACAGAGCCTCTCAACTGATGGATTCTTGCTTGGACTAANGTCAAAGGAGGAATGGCCCGACTCAGCAGAACAAACCGATGAAGATGAGGTCTCAAGAGAGAGAGAGAAACCCGTAGTTGTAACCAATCTTCATACTCATGAGACTACTTGGTATTTGAAGCGGTTTTCAAAATACTCAACTATAGTACGAATGGTAGCATGGATCCTTCGATTCTGCACAAATTGTAGAAACCCAGGTAGTATAAGAAGAGGAGAGTTATCCGTTGACGATATAAACTCGGCTGAGCAGAAACTACTAAAAATTGTGCAGAAGGAAAGTTTTGGTGACACTGTCACGAAGAATAAATTGAAAGGCTTCAACACTTTCCGCGATGCCGACGATCTGATAAGAATAAAGACAAAAATTTTCAGAAGGGAAGATGAAGAAAACTTCAAATGTCCCATAGTTTTACCGTCTGATCACCCACTTGTGGAAAAGTTAATTTATGAAAAGCATCTGGTTTCTGGCCACAGAGGAACTCAAGTTGTCCTGTCAGATCTTCGACAAACTTTTTGGGTTCTCAGAGGTCGGAAGACTGTTCATAGGATCTTGAAACGATGCATTCGATGTAAGAGATATTCTTCCAAGAAATTAGAAGCCGTGCCTGCCTCCCTTCCTGAAGACAGGGTTCGAGACGCGTTGGTTTTCGAGGTGACAGGGGTTGGCTTGGCAGGGCCACTCTATTTGAAGAATGGAGATAAAGTTTGGATATTATTGTTTACCTGCGCCGTGTATCGGGCTATCCATTTAGAGCTGATACAGAGCTGATACAACTGATGGATTCTTGCTTGGACTAAGAAGATTTATAGCAAGACGTGGGAGACCACGAACTATATATAGCGACAACGGAACAAATTTCGTTGGAGCGGTCAATTTAATGGCTTCTATCGACTGGAGCAAAATAGTTCAAGAGAGTTCAATTTTGAGAATTCAATGGGTCTTTAGCCCTCCTACAGCTGGCTGGTGGGGTGGGTTTTGGGAGCGTATGGTCCAAATGGTGAAGAACCTTCTGAGAAGAGTTTTAGGAAAAGCATCCATAAATTTTGAAGAGTTGAGTACCGTTCTATGTGATGCAGAAGCAGTTATCAACTCCAGGTCACTCAACTATTTATCTGAAGATCCAGAGGACTTAACACCACTAACCCCAGATGTGTTCCTTCAGGACGTTCAAACGGTGGGAGTGCCTGACTTAGACAATTTAGATAGCGTCAACCTGGCCAAAAGGTGCAGATATCAACAGAAATTGAGAGAGGATCTCCGGAAGAGATTTCGGGAAGAGTACACCAGTATGCTTATTCATAGGCAGGAAAATAAAAAACCTATCAAGCGAATACAAATTGGAGAAGTGGTCCTCATCGAGTGTGACAAAAGGAGACTGGACTGGCCAATGGGACGAGTAGTTGCAGTTTTCCCTGGGAAGGACAACTCGGTTAGAGTCATAAAATTGAAAACTGGAAAAGGCGAACTAATTCGTCCTGTGCAACGATTGCATCCTTTGGAACTTGATTTCACAAATGAAATATTTAACCGTGAACCATTTGAACAAGTAAAGATCAATAACTTTAAAGATAAAACTAAAGTTGATAGCCTCAAAGGTGAAACTGAATGTGGAGAGATTAGAGATGATGAACGATACACAGACTTAATGAAAACTAAATGTGGTAGGGCTGTACGAAAACCAACTCGTTACAGTTAATTTAAGTTTCGTTAGACGTCAACTGTTGTAGCTTCTTCTACCTTTGAATGTCTAAGAGATTTGTGTTTGATTATTAAGAACAATCAAAGGTGGGAGTGTGTCACGAGGTGTTATAATTTAATTGTTTTTTGTGCTGGCTCAAATTCCGGTGGCAACGTTGTTCACGTTGCCATGGTTACGAGCGATTCTGTAACTAGAGAGAGTAGTTGAAAAATAATAAACAAAGTTCTTTTTATAAAGATGCCTCAAGATTCCTAACTTGTTATTTATATAAGGACACAACAATACCAAACAATCGTAATAAAGGAAATTTTTATACACTAATTAGGAGGCACAGAATGGGCCAAAATAGATTTTGTTAATGAACCGGAAGGAAGTTCTTTAAGCTATATATTCGTGGAAGCAACGTGTGTGTCGAGGTGTGGTTGTTAGAGCCATGAAAAAGAAGTTCGTAGACTCGGTGGTTAGGGGTTCGGTCCTGGTCACGGATTAATTTTAAATTTTTTTTTTTAGCTACATTATTTTATTTTTAAAATTTATTTTTCGATATTTCTACGTGAATAAAGTGCTAAATATGCAAAAATATTTATTTTTCTTTTTTTGAAAGAGGGAATATTAGCTAAAAAACTTATATATTTCGACTCCAGAGCTACGCACACTACTC